GAGCATAGCTTCCCTTAACGACATGTATACATTTCTTTTAGTTTCTACCTTAATTAAGAGCAAAAAAACATAACATATGGCAAGTATTCTGCAACAAAAAGCTCTGTATTTTTTGGAAATTGAGTGAAACTCTAGTTGCAGAGCTTGAGACAGAGAGAATGTGGACAGGTGTTGTGTGTATGTGGTTGGTGTGGACAACAGTTGTGGTGTGTGGATGTGGTCGGTGTGGACAAGAGTTGTTTCAGCTTTTGCAGCTTATGCATTTTATCATTATCTTTGCTTGGCTTATGTTCCTTTCTCTTCTTTGTTTTAGCTTTTACAGCCTCAGATGTTGACGGCACATTCAGTCTAAGCTCACATAACTTTGTTTCATCTACTTCAGCAAGAGATGTTGACGGCAAATTCAATTCAGGCTCACATCATCTTGGACATGCGATAGCTTGAGGTGCCTTGTCTCTGTGATTGAGAAAGACTGCACTGGAAGTGGAGCAGACAACAACTTCCTCTCGGGGCAGAGACGTACTTTCAAGGTTTGGTTTTTTGAAGGTCAACTGAAAGTACAGTAGTCTATTCAAGTTCAAGTCATAGCAAAGTTTTCAAAACCCACCAAAGAACTTCCTCTGTATGTAAATTTAGGTTTTCAAAGTGCCTTGTTTATGATGTTTTGGTTAACCATTTTGTGATTGATCAAAAATTGTTTGCTTTTTTTTTCTTTTTCTGAACAGCTTTGCTAGCCGAGAAAGGGAAGCTGAAGAACCTAGCTGTGATTGTGACCATGTAACTGAAGGGAAGAAAGTAACCATGTAACCGAAGGTATATTTAATGCTTGTATTTATTATATAGGCGGGAATCTAAATATTGATGATGTCTAAATGGAGGCCATGTTTTTTTGGACAGTTTGATTCGTATATCTATGGCAACTTAATAGTAGAGTTTCAACAAAAGGTGCTGAGCATGTCAATAAGGAAAAAAGCACAACAGATGGAGAGGTTCCTTCGTGTAAATGTTGATGTCAGCAACTTACTACCCAAAGACTCAAATTAAAAAGATAACAAAGGTAAAATCATGTTTGTTTTCTTTGATGAATCTCTGTTATGGATTTGTGAGATATGTGTACACCATTTGCATCCACAAGTCGCTCATCCACAATCCCTCAGTCCACAATTTTCTCATACATCTTGTTTTTACTTCTTTTTATAATCATATATAATTTGTATATATGTTTAGTGTTTATTTTGTTTTTATTATCTATATTTCCATTTAATATACTATTGCATAGTGTAACTTATTAAGCCAAACAACATTTTCAAAGACTTATAAAAATCTGTATTTATGCGTGAACAACCCATCAAACCCACACATCTTCCATCCACTATTTCACTATCCATATATATCTATATCTATAAAAAAAAAAAATATACATTATGGATATCAAAATGTAAAAGAAAAAAAGTTAAAATTTCTTTCACACATAAATACAGATTTTTATATATTAGAATTTGCAGTAAAATGACCAATAAGATATGATGGGGAATACAAAACTAATTGATAAGCCAACTAAACACCTAACTAGTATCTAGCGCTGCTCCCAACGTCAGCTAATCTTGTATCCTCAGCGGAAGGATATTGTGGTCTTAATATTGCATAGAATCTAGCAATTGTGTCTCACAAGCAACAAGTGTCCTTTTGAGTAAGAAAAGACACAAAAGTGTCTAATTATGTAACTCACTCTTGTTTCAATCAGCCTCTTCTCCCTCTAATTCATCCTTTCTTTTTCCAATCTACTTTTCCTGGTTTTGTATTTGATTAGTTAATCAAATTTCAATTTATACTAACACATGAAAGATAGATCGTAAGATTTCGAAGAGAGTGAGGAACAAAGTAATGTCAGAGATGAATTGAAATAAAAGAGTTAATAACAACGATTATTTATATGATGAAATTTTTATACTGATTACTGAAGTAAATAATTATAGTGATTAAGAATGAGAAAAGTGATGAATTTCACCGAGGCTTACCTCTTTATTTATAAGTTAAGATTCGTAATCTTCAAGGATGGCAAAGGTATTAGTGAAGGCGGTGGCTTAATGAAGACGTAAATGACGGAGATTGAAAGATAGCTTAGGTTGTTACACTTTCGTCTGGTAAGACGCAGTGGGATTTGGATCAACGGTGATGTCATCTCAATGCAACTATAGACATGTATAGGAAACATATGTGGGCTTATACATAGAACATATAGTCCAATATTAAAAATGTTTACTATCCTTCCGACGTCTGCCCAAAATCTAATAAGAAAAAAATTGACGTTGAATAGGATGTTTGAGGGCTATGTGTCTTTCTCTCCTCTCTTTGATTGATGATGTGGTTTTTTAAGAGGGAGAAAAAGTTTACTTCGTATAATCATATATTTAATTAAAAACTTATTTATAATTATAAGTATATTTCTTATTAGTTAAGATTTCAAACCACAAAAGGTGGAAGCTATTTAACGATGAATAAAAGACAAAAAAAAATTATGGAGAAATAAAAATTACATGCACATCAAACCAAAAAAAATTATAGCATATCTATATGGATTCATTTGTGTAATAACCATTTTTGGAAACTAATATAGTTAACAACTTTGTATATAAAATGTATTTGCAATATTTGGTACTAATCATCTTTTGTTGAGTTTTGGCGCTACCTCGGTCTGTGCAAATAATATTAGGTTAAACCATTTGACTGATGAGTAAACCACAATTAAAGACTCAAAATAGTTTGCAAGCAACAAAAAAGGCTTATGTTGTGAGTTGTGACAAACCAACAAACACACCAATATTTGAGAAACTTAAAAGACATACATATGAAACAAGATCATTAATCTCTATCACCGTAGGAGGATCTCTTCCCACTTGATCGGCCATCGTTATGATTTCGACCCTTGTATGAGTACTCACGCTCTCTGCTAACTCTTTCATCATCTTCGTCTTCCTTACCTGTCACATGTCTTTTCCCAGCAGCAACTTCATCTCTATACCTGTCCTCCTTATCGCCTCTGTACCTGTCCCTGCCACGCTTGTACTCTTCATCATCCTCCTTAACCTTAACCGTTTCACGTCTGTGTCTGTATCTACCCCTGTCATTATCATCCTCTTCCTCGCTGTCTTGACGACCTCTATACCTATCATCAACATCCTTGACTGTTCCACGTCTCTGACCAGCATCATCGCTTCTATACCTGTCCCTTCCATGGTAGTCTTCCTCTCTTATCTGCTTCCTTCCTCTTTGGTAACTGTCATCCTTCAGCTCCCTCCTATTTTCATACTCAGCCTCACTGTCATCAGAAGAGTCTTTTGCAACTTGCTTGCTACGAGAATCACTCTTATAGCTGTCCTTGCCATGCTTGGACACGGTCTCTTCGTCATCTCTCTTCTTGCTCATTCCTCCACTGTAAACTTCTACTTTACTGCGCAGCTGTTTCTTATTGTTCCCATACTCCGTCTCGCTGTCATCAGAGTCTCTTGCACCTTTCTTTCCACTAGAACCACCTCTATGCATGTCCTTGAGACGATTAAACTCCAGGTCTTCATGGTCTCTTTTCTGCTTTTGTCCACCACGGTAAGCTTCTTCTTTCTTTCGCAGTTGTTGTTTCTCATCCTCAGATTCAGGCTCGCTAACATCAGAATCATGCCTCTTCCGCCCACCTCTTCCTTCATCAGGTTTGTCCTTTGAAGCTTTCGAAACAGATTGGTTGGAGGGTCGACTCTTTTTGTGTGACTTCCTAAGTTTCTTGCTGTCATCACTCTCAACTTCAGATTCAGAAGAGACACTTCTTCTGCTTCTACCACGTTTCTTGGTAGCCTTCCTTCTCCTCTTCTCTCCACTGTCACTGTCAGAGTCAGACTCGGAGCTGGTAGAGTCACTTTCACTATCACTCTCTTGTTTACGCCCCTTAGCCTTCTTCTTAGACCTCCTTCTGCTGTCACGACCACTATCATCAGACTCAGATGAGTCATCATCATGTCTTCTCTTCTTGCTCCCTTTCTTCTTGTGACGCTTCACTTCATCCACATCATCACCACCACGCTTCTTCTTGCTTTCCTTACCCTTACCATCCTTCACCTCTACATCCTCCTCTACCTTCCTCCCACTACCCCGGTCCAAAAACGAATGCTCACGCCTCTCTTTCACCAACCCCGTTGGCTCCTCCTCAATGATCCCTTCTTCAGCCTGCTCCTCATCACGCAAACCAAGCGCAGCTCGAAAAGCTTCCATCTGCTTCTCTTTCCTCGCAGCAACCTGATGAGTCTGTGTATCAGAGATCTTCGCATCACTCTCCTCAGAAGCCTCAGCAGCAGCAGCTTCGAACTTCAATTTAGCTTCCTCAAGCTTCTGAGCAATCTCAGCATCAGAAAAGCCCTGATCTGAAAGCTCATCTTCAAGCACAGCAAGCTTGAGATGAATCTGACGCTTACGGTCATGCTCAAGGATGTCTTTGTTAGGCTTCTTGGATAAACCAGCGGTTCCCTGATCATCCGCAAACCCTTTTCCGCCATTAACAGGCTTACCACCATTCCTAGGCCTCACGAAGAACTTGTTCGTCTGAACGTAACCATTAGTCCCAGATCCTCTCGCGGTCTGTAGCCCTATTCCGTTGTACATCGTTTCAACTCTTTTCAATCAAAACCCTAAATCGAAAATAGCCAAGAGATTGGTTCAGATTCAAATCGAAAGATCTAACTGAACCCTAAATGAAATCAATTGCAACCTAAAACCAATCGGAAGCTAAGAAACACAGATCTCTGATTGAATCGGGAAAAAGGTTAAATTACCAGTAAGTATGGGAGAAGATGAGAGAAATCGTTGATGGCGGCGTTAAGCGAGCGAACACGAAGGAGACGATGAGGAAGATAGAACTACTCTTATCAGTTCAAGAGGAACGGCGAGGTTAAAAGGCCTAAAATTAGTCATATACATACTAAATTGGGCTCAAGCCCAAGCGGGTTATATTTCTCTATTTTTGAACTTTAAAATATGGGAACCTTGGGTTGGACCAAATTGAATCGCAATACGCGTCTTAAACTTTGTTCGGGTTAAAAAAAAAGAAAACACATTGCGGTTTTTTAGTTTGATTACTTTATTCGTTATTAAACTTTTTTTTTTAACATTTAAATATTATTACCATTTTTGATTTGTGACGAAGATTACATAAGAGATACTAGCGGATAATTATCTAACTAGAACAAGAAACTAATCTAGACAATACAACTCTAAAATTACACTAATCCACTCTTACCAATGACAAACGTACGGAACAAGACTAGAAAACAAAGCTAGGAAGCTAACAAAAAACATTCTCTAAGCCACAACAGCTCATAATAGGTGGTCGACATATCACATAGAGACATCGGACCCGGTAAAATGCGGCATGCCTAGAGTCCGATTTTAAAGGATGACATCAGCATAAAGGAGATATATAGAACACTGACAACTTCACCCGATGAGTGCTAGCAAAGCAACACGGCAGACTACAGGAAATGGTGAACCGCAAAGAAGGCGATTATTCAGGAAAGAGAACCCGCCGAAAGTGCCACTTCACCACACCTAAAAACCAAGGAAACAAACTAAACCAGCACCTTTCCAAGAGAAAGGTCAGAGACACGCCCTAGATCGCATGCATCGTCACAGAGCACAGAACCGCGGTTGACGAAGGCACAAATCCTAACTCCACGCGCCACTACCACGGAGAACCCGAAGCAGATAACCTTAGATCAGAGCCAATGGCCACACCGGAAGAGACACCATGAGATCGTCTGACAAGCCAAAGACACCTAAAGAGGAGAGAGAGCCGAGACCGAGGAAACACTCCCCCAGACCCAAACCTAAGCCCCACCACCGGAGCAGACCTGCGAGAAGAACTCGCCCTAGCGAGAAAAAGGAAAGAGAGGCGTAAAAGAAAGCGGTTGACGTCTTCAACACTCAGATCTGGACCCCAAATCGAGCTCATGCCACCTACAAACGACCAAAGAAACCTCGAGCCCCCAACTTTCCCAACCTCGATGTGCCTCCAAAGACCAAGACCGGCAGATCTGAGCTGCGGTGACAGCCAAATCTCAGAACCACGAGCATATCGGTAGAGATGAAGCGGAGGTGAGAGGCGACGAGAAGATAACACAAAATTAAAGGGGGTGGAGACCGACGGCAAAAACGCACGCCAGGAATATATTGTAGATTTAGAGTTTCTTATCTTCGGTGAAAGAAAGAGAGATAACATTTCATTATTAAACTTTTTTTATTTTGGATTGGCATCCTACGGACTAAGATATGTTATGTTGATGGGGCATGGAGAAAGCAAGATGTTTTTACAGGACAAGGATAGGTTTGCCGAAAGATAGACTCAGAGGAGGTGATGATGGACGCGATCAGGGCCGGCTCAGGAGGGGGTGCCACCAGTGCACTCACCCGCGACCCAACTAAAAATTATGTCAGTTAATGATAAAAAAATGGCTCAAAATTTTTATTGTTTTCTTTACTATAAGGGCCCAAAATTTATTTTTTTAATTAACTATAATGCATACAAAAAAAATTTGCCCATGAGCCCAACATCAACATACTATTAAGTCGGCCTTGGGTGCGATGAACTTGCGGCGTAGTCTATTGTAGATTGTGAAATCCTAATTTGAAAGATAGAATACATAAAGACCCTGCATTAATTTTGTAAAGTAATTTTTGTAACAGATTTTTCTCAGTTGGTAAAGATGATGTCGTCACTTGAAGAATGGTCAATTTGTTTTACACACATGAAAGAATTTCGATGCAGTAATTTTTTCTTTTCCAAGTTCAAGATCAGATATATTCCAAAAACACAAAATACAATGGCGGATAAACTTGGACGTGATGTGAAGAATTTACTTTCAGTTATGTTATATGTCGATTTTGTGTCTCCAATTTAGTTTTCTGAACCGGAGGATTCCTTTTTTTAGTTTAGATTTTTGTTGTCAATTTTTTTTTAATACCGTGGACACGCGCTTATGCTACGCATGCAAACAAGGTATAAATATACGAAGTATGCTAACTACAACGTGTTGTTTAGTACTGTTTAAGTAACTTATACCTGTGGTGTTAATTTTTTAATTGACTACAATCTATAATAGGATTGCAATTAGAATAAATTAATAATTGTCGAAAAATAAAATAAGTTAATGAACAGTGTACATCGATGAAATTTCGCTTACTTAACTCCTAATTAAATATTATTTATAAAATTTTCTTGTCAGCTACAGATATTTTGTTTTAAATTTTACAAAACGGATGAATATTTGGGGAAATATTATATATATACTCTTTTTTGAACAACTTATTATATTATATACATTTTTTTAACAAATTATTATATAAATATTTTCAAATTTTAACAAACCGTTTCAAACACGTGATATAACTATTTGGTTTTGGAGTTTATCAATAATGCACTGTCACATATGTGTGGATATGGATCGTCATGGAGCAAAACGGTTTACGGACTTATATCTTTTCCCACTGAGGCGGCGCCGGCTGGAGCAGCCTAGCTAGATGTTTGGCTTCTAAGGATCTTAGGAGGCAATTTAGGGGGTTTGAAAATTAATTATATAACCATTTAGGATATTCCATTTTAAGATAGTTATATAAATAGACCAACGTGAAAAGTTTCCGTCATTGTCTAAAAAATCCGAGATAGGTATATAAAATACCAACGTGAAAAGTGTCTGCCATTGTCTAAGAATCTGAGATGGCTACAAACTTCAAATCACATTTACCAATTATCGGTACGTTCAAAAATCCTCAATTAATTCATTCTTTCCAAGCAAATATAATAACTTTCTCATTTCATATACAATGAGAGTGTTGTTGCAGACATCAGTCCTTTGCTTGTCAAATGCGATGATTCCGACATGATGAAGGATGCTGGCGTGGCGGAGGTTGTCCGAAAACTAGACCAGGCTTGTCGGGACGTCGGATTCTTCTACGTGGTAAACAAAATTTTGAGTTTATACCTTTTTCTTGTGGTTTTATAAAAATGTTCTACATGGACGTCTAGTGATTTGGATTGGTGAGTGTGGTGGAGCAGGTTGGTCATGGAATTTCGGAGAGTCTTATGAACAAGGTGAAAGAGATGACACACCAATTCTTCGAGCTTCCGTATGAGGAGAAACTTAAAATCAAGATTACTCCAGAAGCTGGCTATAGGTTTGTTTCATAGATCTACAAATGCGATTCAAAACGTGTATCATGTTTTAGTTACATCGAAAAGAACAACTGATATAATAATAATAATCTACACACAAAATCTAAAACCGAACATAGAACAAAATGGATCTGAACAAAACTATTTTTTAAACTGATTTTTTTTTTAAAGTCGTTCAAGACGTTCAAAAAATGGGTCTATGACCAATCACTGCCTAACGACTTTTTAAACATTGTCAAAAACCAAATATAAATTTATGTTCGTGTGAAATTTAAAGATACATCCAATTAAAATAGGAAACCAAAAGCCTGAGGATGAAAAAAACACGAGCTGAAAACAAAAAGTCTTTCCGAGAATCGTACATAGTGTTTTGTGGAGGAACACTAATGGGTGTTGACTTACACAGGGGATATCAGAGAATTGGAGTAAACTTTACGAGTGGCAAACAAGATTTCCACGAAGCAATTGATGTAAGTGGTGTCCAACGTTACTAGCCAACGGCTTCCAATTTATCAAGTGGTTGTGATTCTACTAATATGTATTTGTTCTCCCATGACAGTGTTACAGAGAGTTTAAGCAAGGAAAATATGGGGAAACGGGAAAGGTCTTGGAAGGGCCAAACCAGTGGTAACTTGTTTTTATTTTTGCATTTACCTTTGTGTTGGAAAAACCTAGCGAAAGGACCAGACGAGTTTTACCAGCTTTAGTTAATATAACATTTTTAAAACGTTTTTGTTAATTGGATACATATGATTGAATAGTGGATTAAATTATTTTGAATAATAGCCTAAATATTTTGATTGAGTAGAGTTAGTCAAAGATAAAATAATAATTTTTAATTGAATAATTTTAGTCAAATGATAGAATAGTGAAACATTTTAGAACACTAAAATTTTGGTTTTATAGATTAATGGTGTTTTAAGTTGTATTTTTAAAGGGAAATAAAAGTTTATAATAAATAATGAAATCACTTTCTTTAGATGAACATGTGACATATTTTAAAAATAATTAATGGTCAAAATAACGAAATCGTGATTTCAAAATGTCAGTATATATAAAAAATATATATGATGGCCATACTTTAAATTATTTTTTCTTATTTTTTTTGTTGCTTTTAATATAAAGGCCAGAAAATCCTCAAGAGTACAAAGAGTTAATGGATGAGTATATTAAGCTATGCACAGGTGTGTTTTCGACATCTTTCAACTCTTTTGTATTTCTTTTATAGGTGTTTGTTTCAAACATAGTGATTCTTAGGTTTGTAATTTCATTTCATGGTTCAAGATCTTTCGAGAAACATCTTAAGGGGAATTTCCTTAGCTCTTGGTGGATCACCGTACGAGTTTGAGGGGAAAATGGTCGGAGACCCTTTTTGGGTAATGCGTATTATTGGTTATCCTGGTGTAAAGGAAGAAAATGTTATTGGATGGTAATGAACTTTTATCATTATTGTTTTACTACGAAGACACTTCTTTTTATTTAATCGTAATAGTTGTAAAGGGATAATAATTCATCTCTATTATTTTGCTTGTAAATTTCCAGTGGAGCTCACACTGACTATGGTAAGTAAGCTTCAACTTGAATCAAGTAATGAATATATATCTTCATATTTTTAGTCTCAAAAGTAAGATATACTATAGCTTTTTGGTTTGTTGAATGAAACCGGTGACTTGTAGGCTTGTTGACACTTATAAATCAAGATGATGATAAAACTGCTCTTCAGGTATATATTATTTATTACCATAATCTTCTCTGATTTTGTTTCTCATAATAAAGTTGGCTAACAGGTTTTTTATTTTTGTATCGAAAGGTGAAAAACTTGGCTGGTGATTGGATATCAGCTATTCCAATCCCTGGATCATT